GGAAGGATTCCATCCTTTTCTATGTTTTGGAATAGTTTGAGTAGGATTGGTGTCAGTTCTCTGAATGTTTGGTAGAATTCTCTGGTGAAACCATCTAGGCCATGACTTTTTCTTGTTGGTAATTTTTTGATGGCCTGTTCAATTTCTTCTTTTGTTACGGATCTGTTCAATTTTTCCACATCAGTCACACATGTGATTGATCAGTATTAGTTTAGATAAGTGATATGTTTCTAGAAATCTGTCTATTTCTTCCAGATTTTCAAATTTGTTGGAGTACAGTTCTTCATGGTATCCTGATACTATCCTTTTTATTTCAGTTGATTCTGTTGTGATGTCACCCATTTTGTTTCTTATTCGTGTTATTTGTATTCTCTTCCTGTTTTCCTTTGTTAAATTTTCCAGTGGTTTGTCAATTTTATTAATCTTTTCAAAAAACAAACTTCTGATTTTGTTGATTTTTTTCTATTGCCCTTTTATTTTCTGTTTCATTGATTTCTGCTCGAATCTTGATTATTTCCTTTCTTCAGGTGACTGTAATCTTTTCTTGCTGTTCTTTTTCTAATTTTTGGAGATGTTGGTTTAAAGTGTTGATTTTGGCTCTTCTTTTTTGATGTATGCATTTATTGCTATAAATTGGCATCTGATCTCTGCTTTTGCTGTGTCCCAAAGATTTTGGTATGTTGTGTTTTTATTCTCGTTTGATTCAAGGAATTCTTGAATTTCATTTTTTATTTCTTCTCTTATCCAGTCTTTCTTAAGGAGGGTGTTGTTTCGTTTCCGTGTGTTTGCTCTTTTTCCGTTGATCTTCATATTTTTGATTTCTAGTTAGATAGCATTATGATCTGAGAAGATGCTTTACAGTATTTCAGTGCTTTAAAATTTATTAAGGCTTGATTTATGGCCTAACAAATGCTCTGTCATGGAAAATGTTCCATGTGCACTGGAAAAGAATATCTATTGTGCTGTTGTGGGGTGGAGTGCTCTGTAGATGTCTGTAAGGTCAAATTGGTGGATTGTATTCTTTAGCTGTTCTGCATCCTTGTTGAGTTTCTTTTCAGTTGTGCTATCTTTCATTGAAAGTGGTGTATTAAAAGTCTCCCACTATGACTGTGGGTGGAGTCATCTATTTGCCTTAAAGTCTGATTTATATATTTTGGGGCCCTTTCATTGGGTCCATAGCTATTTATTATGGTTATATCTTCTTGTTCATTTGATCCTTTAATCATTATATAATGTCCTTCCTTGTCTTGTATGGTGGTTTTTGTCTTAAAGACAGTTTGGTCAGAAATTGATATTGCGACTCCTGCTCCTTTATGGTTGCCATTTGCTTGATACATCTTTTTCCAACCTTTGATTTTTCAGTCTATTTTTGTCTTTGTCTCTAAGGTGTGTCTCTTGTGGACAGCATATTGATGGGTTTTGTTTTCTTATCCAGTCTGCAACTCTTTTTGTCTCTTGAGTGGTGGATTTAATCCATTAACATTCAGTGTAATTATCGACAAGTATGAATTGGTTACTGTCATTTTGTTAAGTGTTTTTTCATGGTGTCCCTGGTTTCTTTGTTCCATATTATTTTCTATGCTGAGCATAATGAGTTTATGAATCGTGTTATCATTTTCTTTGTTACTGTTGTTTTAGTATTTGCTGAATATTTGTCCTTGTCTTTCTTTTTTATTGTGATGTGAAGGTTTATCATTTTTCTTTGAAGTTACCCTGTGATTTATAATTTTCTCCCCAAGTTTAGAACGGTCCATTCTATCTTGCAACTTTCTTAACTTCCTCACCATTTAGAAGTTCTGTAACTACGCAGTATTTTCCCTCTTTTTGGTTTGTAGTTGTCCTCACTTGCCAATTGATGTCTCTGGTTCCCTGTTTACAATCTTGTAAGCTTATTTTACTTTGGATATGTCCATAGCTGTGGTTTCTTGGTTATGTCACTTGTGTTTTAATGGTAGTGGTGGTTTGCTATTTTTGGTTCTCTGCTCAAAGGACTGCTTTTAGCATCTCTTGTAAGGTTAGTCTGGTTTTAACAAATTCCCTTAGTTTCTGCTTATCTGGAAATCGAATATCACCATCATATTTGAGGGACAGTTTTGCTGGGTATATAATTGATTGAAAATTTTTCTCTTTCAGTGTTTTATATATACCATCTTATTGCCTTCTCTCTTGCATGGTTTCTGCTGAGAAATCAGAGCTTATTCTTACTGGTTGTCCATTGTAAGTAACTTTTTGTTTTTCTGTGCTGTTTTCAGAATTCTGTCTTTGTCTTTGGTTTTGATGAGTTTGAGGATGATATGTCTTGGTGATTTTCTTTTGGGGTCTATCCTGTTTGGGGTTTGTTGGACTTTCTGAATGGATATATTCTCTTTCTTCATATCAGGGAAGTTCTCCTCCAGCAAATCTTGGATAATTTTCTCAGTGGTTTTATTTTTCTCTTCCTGTTCTGGAATTCCAGTGACATGTAGGTTATTCCTTTTGATGGTATCCCACACGAACCTTAGGCTTTCTTCATTTTGTTTTGATCTTTTTCTGATTGATCCCTTTCCAAAGAAGTACTCAGGTATTTGTCTTCAATCTTATTAATTCTGTCTTCTACTGCATCATTTCTACTCCTTTGCCTTTTCAATGTGTTACCTGTTTCTTACAATTAAGTATTAATCTTCTGGATTTCTATCTGTAGATTTTGAATCACTTATAATTTTTCATTTTTTTGTCATTTTGTTCTTATATTTTCTTCCAAAATTCTTCTAGGGTTTTGTCTTTGTTTTCTTGGTCTGTCTCTCAGTCCTTTGAAGATACCTAAATATAATTCTTTTGAATTCCTTATCAGAGAGTTCCAATGCTGCTGCTTCCTCATGGATGTATTCTGGGTCTGTATCCTGCTCCCTGGTTTCTACCACTTTATCTTGCTTCTTTGTGTGGACTGTGATGGTTTTTTGTCTCTGAGACATCGTGGTCTTGTTGTATTTAGATCTCTGTTAACTGTGAAGAGCAGCCAAGGGTGAGTCAGGCTCTTCTTCGTGATTGTTTAGTGCTGGCCCGTTTGTGGAGAACGAAGTAGTGGCGCTCACTCGGTAAGTGAAGCTGCAGGAGGTATGGGTGTAGTTGTTCTGAATAGATCTTAAAAATGTTCTTTTTGATGATGAATGTGACACCATTCCTGTTCAGTTTGTCATTCAATTAAGTTTAGCTTATGTATTCAATCCATGACTCCATTAACACCATTCATCAGTGATATGTGTGACTTTTACCTAAAATCACTAGCATTGAACAGACTTGACCACTTCTTGTTGAGGTACATTTTTCAAGTGACTGCCAGCAAACCTTATTCTTTTTTTTCCAATGTAACTGGGCTTCCCTTCTCATTTTCCTCTCCTGGTTCCTTCTTTTCTCCTCATCTTACTAATATTGGATGCACAGGGCTCATTCTCTGTCCTGTTTATCACATTCTTTCCATTGAAGATCACATTTAGTTCTATAGCTTTTCAAAACTGTATGTTGTTGAGTTCCAAATGTATTATCTCTAACCTGGACCTTTGTCCCAAATTCATGCTACTTACTTGACATTCTATTTGAAAATTTAAACAAAGGTCTTAAACGTATCATGTCGAAAACTGAACTTACATCCTACCTTTTGTAGCTTCACCTTTCCCTAGCTCAGTAATGACAGTTTTAGCTTTCTAACTGCTCATCCTTCACTTCAGTGTTTTTCTCACATTCCACAACTAAGCCTACAGTAACTCCTGTTTGGTTTTCTCTTCATAATACACCCAGAACCCAGACACTTCACACATTCTTGACTCTAATGTAAGTCGCACTCATTTCTCGTCTGAATTACTGAAGTCACCATGTAACCTGTCTATTTATGTCCTTTGTGCCCCTAAAGCCACTTCTCAACATAGTTACCAGGTACTCCTTTTAAAATACATGTTTCACTTCTCTATTCAAAACCCTGCAGTGGCTTTCAACTTAACTTGGAGTAAAAGCCATAGTTCTTATATGATCAGACTTCTTATTACTTTTCTGATTGCCTCCTCTCATTATTATTATTTATTCCATAGTCTACTCCAGCCATGGTGGCCTGCTTTCTGTTTGTCAAAAATGCTGGGTGTACTCCTCCTCCCACAAAGTTTAGCTTTCTCAGACAACTTTGTGGCTAATTCCCTCTGTTCCAGCCTGCCCTTAAATCGCAATTCAGTGAAGCCTGCCTGATTACCCTGTTTAATAGTGTAGGTTAAACCCCCACACACACTCAGCTTTTCTGATTCTCCTTATCAGCTGTGCTTTTTTTTTTGTTCTTTAAATAGCCATTATCATTTCAATTTATTATGTAATTATATAGATAATGATTAAAAATTTGGGCAATGAATGATTGCTTCTTTGTAGCATCATTCTGTTAAGAGTATTAAATAGTAAATAAAATTTTATTAATGTTTGTTATATTT